TAATAGCTATGAATAGTTGAGGAAAATATCAATTTAAAGGAAACTTGATGCTAAAGATAAAAGTCAATTTACTCAATAATTAACGTTAATAGAAAAACATGAAAAATATGCTTTAGAGTTTAATGAAGCTTGTGATCGATTTTTTAAAGCTAGGAAAATTAATTTTTATTCTATTCTCTTGACTTTGTACAAAAATGCAGAAATATTAGTATACTGTTGTTCAACTATTCAATTATGTTACAATTGTGTTTTATGAACTAAAGCGTTCGTTTATTTCAACCGCGTGGATTTAAATTTTGATTCTATTTAACTGTAGCTCTTAATTATATATAATTTTAATCTCATAAATAATTAACAAACTGTGCTTTTGGCGACAATTTTTTCGCGCGATCGAATTTGTTCTCTTATTTAAATCGAAGTGAATGAATATGTTTGGCATATTTTTATGATGGGAAAAAGACATTATTTTTTTATCTTATTCTTCTGCATGACTGCGGAAAATATTGAAGAACAGCTGTTTAAAGTTTGGTTTTTCTCTATCTCGATTTATGTTATAAAATAAAAGATTGGGAATCCCGAAAACGTCAGAATTTCCGGAACAGTAGAGCCTCCTACATTTGTCAATTCCATTTATCGCAATGCATCACTGAAAAAGTATATACCTTTTAATAAATCATTTGTTTAAACAATACAAACTAAATATTTATCAAATACAAAAGTATACAATATTTATTTGATACCAAAACTATTAATTTGATTTAACATTCATTTTGTTACTCAGTAAATATTTATTTGCTGTGAGTATAAATATTTATTTTTGATACTATTTAAATTAATATTTATTAAAATTTAGTATCTATACATTTTCCTCAGTGTAAAAATAATCATGTTTTCATCGATGTCATTTCCTGTTTTCGTTGTAGTATTTACGTCTTTTAGCTAAATCCGGGGACTTTCGAGAGGATAATGATCACAATCCTATTGCTAGTTTCACCATCGAACAAATAATAGTTGCGTTAAGACGAAGGATATAGTTTCATTTTACTCTCGTTGAAGATCGTATTTTAATCAAGTTGTAATTATTACCATTCCAGATAAAGCGTCCGGCAAAAAAATTACTTGAAGATGCGCCGTAATTTTTACGATGGTGGACTTACCTGCTCCACTGGATTGATATCTTTGACTTGTCTACTACTTGTCCTTTCACTAACGACATCGATCATCGCTGGTACGTCCTTTATTTTTTTTCCAGCATTTTATTATTTATTCTTATCAGGAAACACGAAGTCCTTTTTCGATTTTGATAAGTTTCTAATATGTTGTTCTCCAGATCAAAATAAGGGACACATATTTTTTTTTATAAGGGCTTAATCGCACATTTAGGGCCGCAATACCCCTTTAAAAAAAAATGATTATTTTCTTTTAATGCGAAGATGTATTCCTCTTAATATACGTTACAATAAAAAATGCAAGAAATACTGATTTCTCCAAAAACACGCAGATAAACTTTGCCGCTCGTGGATGCACTTTGAATCTTTGATATTTAACCTCTCATATCTTCTCTGCAAAAGTGGATCGGTGTATTATCACTAATTTCAGTACTACTAATAACTGTAATATTCATGAATATTTACTGTCTTTCAGTACTAATACAATGATTCATTTTTAAAAGTTATGGTTTCTACAGATTGAATCTGCAGAAAATCGTAACCTCTAAAAGTAAATCAGTGTATTATTACTTGAAAAACAGTAAATATCCGCTGACGATTACATCAGCTATAAGTATAGCACTGAAATCAGTAATAATACTGATTCACTTTTAGAGTTAATATAGTGATTTTATGATGTATTTAAGTAAATACTTTTCTCATCATGTGCAATGACAATTTCTGTAATTATTATACATACCCGTTCTCGTTCGATTCTCTGATAGATGTAATCATAAAATAAATAGGTATATTTTACACTAAAAATCCATTGCGCATCTATTTATCACGCCGTTTTACTCTTTTAATTATTCTTTCATTATTTTAATTTCTCGTATTAAATCATTATTTCATACAAAAACCCATTGGGATTTACAAATCGTACGATTTGCAGCACCGTTTGAGCATGAGATGGGCGACGTGATACCAGACCTCACGGTATCTAACGACAATGCGTTCACCCAACGCGGTTGTCCACTTTACAAGTGTGTGGCGAATTGTCCCCTTGGATATGAAGTATGTATCCATTATAACTGTCCATCCACTTTAATAATTTTATTATAACTCTACATCCACTTTATATTTAGCATTTTTAACTTTTATTTAGCTTTACATTCAATGTAAATTTATATCATGACAGAACTCTGATGATAAAACAGATACGTTTTCAAGAAATGTAATTTTAAAAAACACTTTTTATTATATATTTTTTTAAATTTTTGTAGATAATAAGCAAAACTTGACTGAATATGAAGAAATAGATCATTATTTTTATGTCATCACAAAAATTTCAAAAATCGACAAACCTTAAAGTCGTCGTTTTATCTCTCTTTAATTCTTCTGCTTTCTTTTCATGTCTTTTTATGCTCTTTTTCTTTTTATATTTTATGTATTTGTTATTCCTATTATCTATATTTCGAAAATGATAAAACATTTTCTTTCGAATTTTGGAAACAATTCAATTTCGTAAGTCACTGTATAACATCGATGTATGACATTTTAATTCTAGTTTAATTTATTTATATGGCGATAAATATTCGAAGATATATAGAGATATAAAAAAGAGTTAGTTTATTTTTAAATAAAATTTTAGACCAGATATATTGATTTTTTTCTTCATATAAAAGAGGTTTGTGATGTGATCTCATGAAAATCTTTTCAAATGATTTTACTGAAAGAATCAACGTTTTCGATAGGTCAATGAGGTCGGCTGTCGAACATGCACGTGCAAAAATTAAGTCGCATGTCGCGACTTAATTTGTCCGGAAGGTGAACCAAGTGAATTAGTTTTCATCGTGAATTGTTTTCGGCCGCCGTGTTCCCGAGATACACCCATGTGTAAGAAGAATAGATCAACAATCTAATCTGTAAGCGAATCTTTATAAATTATCGATTCGCCATGGCTGTTTCTCAGCAGCACCATATGTAAATCAATCTATGGGAAATAAATGCTTTTAACGGTCTAGCTGGATCTTAAGTGCTAGTATAATTTTGTGTAAATTCATTTACTACGCTTGTATATAGTCCTTTTAATTAACTGTGCGCCGAAATAATTCTTCAGTCTTGAATCGCAAATTCTACTGAACTACCGCAATAATATCATCAGTTAAATTGTGTGACTAGCAATTTAACAATTCGATGCTCTTTCGCATCTTAGAACAATCTTAATAATGCTGAATGACATTAAAATCTGTAAATAATAATAATTAAAATCAGTAAATGACATATTAAAATATGTAAATCAACTAGATAAATCAATCTATTCGCCTACAGCTGCCTAGTGAAGTCCAAACAAGAATTTGGCATCAGCTATAATCCATACAACACAGAAAGTCTACAAACATATTTCACTAGAAGAGTATATAATTGCAAAACGTAATGAAATATTGTTGCAACGTTGCTACAACTTTACAGCAATGTTAAAATGTCAGCGTTCAAAAAGATTGCAATGAAACATAGCGATTCATTGCATCACATTAATTATGATAAATTTTTGTTCTTATTGATTAAATAAAAATTTATATATTGATTAAAATAAAAATTTTAGCATTTTTCCTAATAAAAACTTTATTTTTTTACTTATACGAATCTTCATTTTCAGATGCTCAAATATCATGATTAGTATTCAATAAGTTAAATTATAATTTCACTTTTTAAATCCTAACATCACGATATTATTTTCTTTCTAAAGTACATATTTCGAGTATCGTAACGTAACCGGATATTATTTATTCACTCATGAATTTTTAATCGATATCACAATTTTTCAAAACACTTACCATTTGTTTAACAGAAACAAGCATATTTTAAACATAAGAGCTAAAATCGTTGAAACTATTTTTTATCGCAGACTATTATTATTTGAGAGTTTGATTATAATATAGACATCTTGATATTTTCCTTGATGGAAAATGAATTTTAAATAAAAAAATGTCTACGTTATTCTGTATAAATATCCTCATTTATAATTATATCAATCGAACAAAATTGCGCACATATTAATTAGATCTCCATGCAAACGCTGGAGAATCAATTACAAATTTATTCATTTAGCAGATAGCAGAATGGAGTGAATTTTTTTACATTATAATATATCACAGAGTAATTTAATTATATACTAAATTGAATAAAATAATATTTATTGAAGATATATATTTCAACTTGTGTAATATTTAGCCTCAACCAACAGACAATAGTTTATTTAATTTATAAATTAATTTACGTATACATAAATGAATTATTTAATGTCTTAAACATTATGTTACCATGCTACAGAAAATACAAACTATAATGGCGAAAAGTACAACGCAATCGTAATAATACCTACAAAACATAAATTTCGAAACTATATTACAATACTTTATACATAAAACTTTTATATTATTAATACTCCTACTTTCGGGGAGCGCTATCTATCAGAGTTGTTATGATGAAAGAAGACTTCTTACATCATGAGCGTTATTACGTTATTTTACCTCTTGCTATGTTCGAGAAGCACTCCCTCGAGTCATTATGTCCTTATTTTATGTACTATTACTAAATGTAAAATATCTAATTATACGTTTACTATAACGATAAAGATAGTTATTGAGTAACTATTTATCAACATTATTACTGTTAAGAAAGTAGCATTTATGTATAAACGGTCACTTAATGTTCTGCGACTTCAAGAGTTTGACTTCAAATGAGATAAGAAAACAGAAAAATAAAAAAATTTTGTGAGGGCTCATGCTTTTTTAAATGAAACTCTAGCTATATAAAAAGGAAACCAGCGGACTCCAACAGTAGTTTTCCGAATTCCTCACGAGCAAATCAAAGAAAGTGAAGTAAGTATCTAGTACAGTTACAAAAATCATTACATGACGATGGGCAAATAAATTTCTCTTTTAGAAATAATGGTTTTCGCAATATGTATTCGTCTACATAGCTGCTGAAAAAATATCAAAAAGCGGCTGTACACGGCTATAAGCCGCTTTTAATAGAAATAAAGTTCGTGTATTTTCTATATATCTCATTTCACATTATAAAATGAAAGGTTGAGAATCCCAAGAATAGGGACTTCTGGAATAAAGTAGCCTTTTGCGTTAATTAATCGCGTTTATCGTAATTCATAGAAATTTTTTCTCCATCGAAATTTTATTTCTATCGCCATGTTCCATTACACTTTCATTGTATTACGTATTCACGTCCGATCCTGGCTATATTTTAAATTCGAGGACTTATTTTCTATTCAGAGACTATAACGTTCTGATTTCATCGAGAATAACAATGCCGTTAAAGTAAAGGTTAAAGTTTCGTTGTGCTCATTGGAGGTCGTGTTTTAATCATGGTGTATAATTGTCGCCAGGTAATAATATAGCTAGCTCAAAAGTTACTTGATACAATGAAGATGCGCGGTGATTTTTACAACAGCAGACTTATCTGCTCCATTATGCAGGTTTCGTTGGCTTGTCTGCTATTCGTCATCTAGCTATCAACGATGATTACCGCTAGTCCGTTCTTTATTTTTCTATTTTTCTCAGCGTTTTATTATTTCTTTGTTAATTTGACTCGTTTCTGTCCAATGTGCAGGCAAACACAAAGTTTAAAAAAGCAAATAAAACAATCACGTTAAAATATATTTCGAACAAGAATAGACATTTTCATGGTGCATTTTGGATTGCGCAGTACTAGATTTAATTAGAACTTGTAAATATTGGACCGCGCGAATCGCATTAAAAAATTGGAGTAAAGAATTCACTCCTAACTTATGAGTGCTTGCACTCGAATTCGAGACTATCTTCTCTTTGCAATCATTCTAACATATTGTAGAAACAATAATTTTATAAAATGCAGTTTTTATTCTTTATTATATTATTTCTTTTTATGGGTTTTGTTTTATCATTATGAAAACTTCACATTGTGATCTTGTTTCTTGATTTAGATTGATTTTGTAAGCCTAATAACTTATGAATAAAAAGCATTTCTTAATTATAAAAAGTTTAAGAATGTATTTCACCTACACACTGAAAAAAGAAATATTTAATTTTAAGATATTAAAGTGTTTTGTTCTTATCTCCATTTTTATACTGCATTTATCGCAATGCATAAAAATCATATCTTCGTCGACCTACCGTCCATTGCACTTCCAATATATTATTCATGTCTGATCCTGAAATTCTTCTATTCGATAAAATTAAACGTTACGTTCTCTAAAAAGTCCTCGAATTTAAGATATAGCCAGGATTAGATATGAATAATATAATGCAAGTGCAATGGACGGTAGATCGACGAAAATATGTATGTATTTCATTTTGTTAAAGGAAAGAAGGAAGATTCGTTCTATTGTCGTTGAAAACATATTTTATTCAAGAAGCAATTGTTACTATTCCAGATACATAATAGCAACTGGCTAAAAAATTACTTGATGTAATGAAGGGATACCGTAATTCCTGTAACAGTGGGCTTTCCTACAAAGTTATGTGGATATCGTTGACCTGTCTACTGTTCATCTTTACGCTATTAACAACGATCACTGCTAGTACGTCCTCTCTATTCTTCTATTTTTCAGCGTTTTATTATTTACTCTTTGTTTGACTCGTTCCGTTCAATGTGCATACCAATACAAAGAAGCAAAGAAAACAAAATTGCGATAAAATATATTTCGAAAGTGAATCGACACTTTCATTGTACATTTTGGCTTACGCAACACTGGATTTAATTAGAACTTGTGAATATTGGACCGCACAACGTGATCGTTCTAAAAAATGATCAAAAAAAAGATTAATATATTCACTTCTAGCTTATAAGTGCTCGCGTCCAAATTAGAAATTATCTTCTCTTTGCAATTAAATTAAAGACTATCTTCTCTTTAAAATCACTCTAATAATTACAAAACTATTTTGTAAAAAGCTGCAGTTTCTATTAATTTTTTATTCCAGACTGCTCCAAATTTCTCTCTACTCTAATATTCCTGCAAATTTCATCAATACTAATAAGTAGCCTCTCTTGTTAGTTATTTTATTTTAGTAATAAAATTTCATGTTGTAAGAATTGATGCATTAACTTATTCTTTATTCTATTATTTTGTGTCGACATCATGAATGCTTTACACCATAATCTTATTTCTTGATTCGGATTGATTTTGTCAACCTAACAACTAGTAAAAAATAAAAGATATTTTAATTCTCCGATATAATCATGAAGTAATATATTTGTACATTTAAAATCCATTACGCACAAAGTGCATCGTTATATCCTTAATCTGCATCTTTTAATTATTTCTTTACTATTTTAATGTCTC